GGCCTTACGGGTGGGGCGCGTACTGCCGGACCTGGTGCACCCGGATCAAGTGGGATTCATCCCAGGCAGGGAGGCACGCGACAACACCATCAGGGCCCTCAACGTGATCCACCTGGTGGGGAGCAGCCGGAGGGGGGTCCTCCTCCTCTCGACCGACGCCGAGAAGGCGTTCGATCGGGTGGACTGGGGGTTCATGCTGGCAACGCTCCGTACGATGGGATTCGGGCCCCATATGATGACCTGGATAGCTGCCCTTTATACAACACCAACAGCCCGTATGCGCATCAATGGGGCCCTAACACAGCCATTCAACATCCGTAACGGCACAAGACAGGGGTGCCCGCTGTCCCCCCTCCTGTTTGCCCTCTCCCTGGAACCATTCCTGGGGGCGGTCGGACGGGATGGGGGAATCGCGGGCTTCGCCTATAAAGGTCTGGAGCAGAGAGTCGCGGCATACGCAGATGATCTCCTCTTCTTTCTGGCCAACCCACTCATCTCTCTCCCGAACCTACTAGCAAGGTTCCGGGAGTACGGCCTGCTCTCCAACCTTAAACTCAATGCTGAGAAGTCGGAAGCCTGCCCTTTAAACCTAACTACCGCAGACACGACTCACCTACGGACACAGTACCCATTTAAGTGGTGTGCGGATAAGCTCAAATACCTTGGCATATGGCTCACCGGAGACACGAAGCGCCTATTCCAGGAGAATTTTGTCCCCATTCTCCGCACACTACAGCACGACATGACGACTTGGGGCGGCCTGTGCATTTCATGGTTCGGGAGAATCAATGCCTTAAAACTAAACCTTCTTCCGCGGCTTCTTTACCTCTTCCAGACCGTTCCAATTATGATACCCAGGACCTTCTTTCAGACGCTGAATACGGCGATGATAAAATTTGTGTGGAAGACGGGACGACCTAGGGTTAACGGGGCGCTCCTGTCGCTGCCCAAGAGGATGGGGGGCTTAGCCCTCCCTTCACTAGTCCATTACTACAGGGCCACCCACCTGCTTCGGCTGGTGGACTGGCACACACTAAACTCAGACAAGCTATGGAGGGAACTAGAGAACGTACAAGTGGATCGAAGGCTGCCAGCCGCGATATGGACAGCGCACCCCCTAAAGGACCCTAGAATGACCCACAACCCGTTTATCAGGGCCACGACGCAGGTTTGGACTGCCACTCGCCTGAAGGACGGCCTCACTACAACGCCGGGTCCTCTGACCTCTATTACCCATAACCCAGATATCGCTGACGGACTACGACCGGGGGATGTGTTGGGACTCGGGGACCCGGACTGGACGTACATGAAACAGCTATGCGCCGCAACGGGACTGAAAACACTGAGGGAACTGATCCCAGACGGCACCATCTCTCTAATGACCAGGTTCCGCCATCATCAGATTCAGCATTTCTACCGAACCACGGTGGGCAAACATTTATTTCATAGAGACCTAACCGCTTTTGAGCACATGTGTGCGGCCAGGGATCGACCACTGAAAGGAATCACACGACTCTACACCCTACTGCTTACCGCCACACCACGCGCACCACCACGATATATGTCCCGCTGGGAACAAGCGACAGACCAAACACTGACGGACCAACAATGGGAGAAGATCCACGTGCTAACACACCAAGGCACGCTCAGTTCAAAACTGCAGGAACTTAACTACAAGATTATGGTCAACTGGTATAGAACCCCAGCGAAACTACATTGCATGAACCGAGAAACCCCTGACGTTTGCTGGAGGTGCGGAGCCGAGGGTGGGTCAGACTACCATATATGGTGGTCGTGCCCTACAATTCAGCAGTACTGGAAACAAATTCATTCTAAAATTCAAAGCATCGCGGACCCGGACCTACCGTTCCAGCCCTTGCCGATGCTACTCCACCACACCACACGCCCTATAGCTACATACAAACGCTCCCTGACCAAACACCTACTAAATGCGGCAAAATCCCTCATCCCCACCAAATGGCGCACGACGGAGTCACCGTCGATGGAGCAATGGATGGAACGTGTGGAGGACATCTACAGTATGGAATCCCTCTCGGCATCGCTACACGGCACGGGAGACAAATGTGCTATCACCTGGCTCCCTTGGTGCACCTACATAGCCCAGAGAGGAACCGCAGGAACGGCTGCCACTGGGTAGCGGAGAACCAGGGAAGCTCTAGATCCGCCCCTCCAGTGATCATATGAGATACAGGAGTCCGCCTACCAGCCTACCCTCCCCCCCCCCCTCTTCCTCTCTTCTCTCTTCCTTTCCCACTGCACACCTTTCTCTTTCCCCCCAGTCAGGAGGTCATTGGCAGGACTGTGATGGTCAGGGGATAGGGGGAACCCATGGCCCGGACAGGTGGTCGGGGGTGGGGCCTGGGAGGGGGGGGACACTTTGGAGGTGGACAGCTCCTGGAGCCAAACCCTGGGTGGGGAATACAGTCAGGTCCAACGGGGGGGACAGGCGGACATCCCACACTGAGTACCCTGACCAACTCGACGAGCATGCAACCATAGCAAACTGGACGCGACGGACAGGGAGTTGACACGCCCCACCCAGCACCAGTACACCAGCGGCTTCCCACGACTGTCCACCAGCTCGGCCCCTTAACTAGAGGTCACCCCCCTAACCGGACGAACCAGAGAGAATCCCCACCAAGACACCGAACTGAACCCTGACTTGCGCTGATCAACACACTCCAACTATGTACATAGCATACACTCTTGCACACACATGAGAAACCAAGAGACAAGAAGAGCGTTCTACCAGGTTGACAGCCCAAAACTAAATGCCTCATTTCACGAAGGCGCTCATGGAGGGCTTGACACAGTTCACTAAAAGTTGCTTGTTACTATTGTTTTCTACCCAAGGTAATTGACGAGAGCATTGATATGGGAGGTTGGATATATGGCTATATCTGAAATGTAAAACCTTGATTGTTATCCTTCTTTCCCTCTGTTTCCCACGTACTTTATTATCTCAATAAAAATTGATTGGATAAAAAAATAAAAAAAAATATCAGAGACAGTTTGAAGAATGGCAGGATAAAAAATGCTATATCCCCCAATACTATACCTTACTGATGAGGGCGAACAAGGTCTAAACGATTGTCTAGAGTTGCTGTAGCTCACGTGTAGAGATAACTGGCTTGCATTTTGTATTTGACCCAACTTTTGGGTGGGATCAGTCTGATATGGAAAAGGCCTTGGCTCTCTTTGGAATGGCACAAGATGAACTAAAACTTGCCTGAGATCTGAGCGGGGACACGCTGAAGGGCAGGCTATTTGAGCTGTTGTTCGTTCTCAGTATTTCCTTGCACCCTATTTTTTTGCACTCCCAATGTTTAATGGTTAATCCAGACGTGGACCCCTTGCTCACGGTGCCCTTGAGGGCTATCTGCTATACCTCACTGACAAGACCTAACAAGGCTGAAATGATTGTCTTGGATTGCTGTATGCCTCGTGCAGAAAGAACCGTCCCGTATTTTTGATCTGTTCTGCCTTTTTGGGTGGAATCAGTCTGATATGCAAAAGACCTAGGTTCTCTTTGTAATGACACTAGGTGAGCTAAAACTAGCTTGAGATCTGAGCGGGGACCCATGGAAGGGCAGGCTACTTGAGATGTTGTCTGTTCTCAGTATTGTCTTGCACCCTTTTTTTCATTGTTTAATATTTCAGTGACAATGAAACAAACAATGTAAATCATGTAAATGTATTTAGTTATATTGGAATTAAATAGTAAATAAAAAATGTGTACATTACATAATCCAGTTGTGAATTCATTAAAGGGAAAAGACACTGCCCTAATAAAAAAATTAATAAAAATCACTCTTTAGTTGATATACCACCAATAGAAACAGGTAGGCATTTTTTTCATTGGTAGTATATTTAAGAACAGCTTGTAAACACTGCATACCGCTTCTCTGAAGCCTTTGCAAGCCCTCCCTTCCTCTCAGACCAGACTTTTCTTTTTCTGTCCAATCACAGACTTCCCAGTCAGTTAGCTCAATAAAATGCCTTTGCAAGGTGCTCTGAGTAGTTGCTGCCTCTTGAGTTTAGCCCTACTGAGCTAACTAAACCAGGAAGTAAAAGGACTTGTCTGATTGACAGACGTGGAGCAAGGGAATGCAACAAGGTTAAATTATAAAAGTGTTAATTTCTAATGAAATCTGCACTTTTTGTAAAATAAGAAAAATAGGACAAATTCTTGACACATAAAACACTTTAGCAAGCTAAAATACTTTAGATGTTTGGAGTGCACCTTTATCACAGATCAAATATAGTTGTTATTTCTCAATAAAATGATGAGGAAGAAAGGGATTGTGACAAGTCCTATTTACACATCATGAGTGGTAAATGTATGGTAATGTGCAGAAGAAAAAAAGAAAAGTATGTTTCACTTTTCAATTTTTATTGTGTTTAATTAGCTACGGATTATTGCTGTGACAGTAACCACGTGTTTGAAAAAAATGTGAACTATATTTGTGGTATAACGGGTTAAAGTTTTACATTGTAATGTAGAGCATTGATTTGTGATAGCGCTGCATTTTTTTTTTTTTATAATATATTGTTCCTTTAAGCATACAGCCAATGCAAGTTTATTAAATTAACCTTTTTCACGGAACTACTATGCTTTAAAACAATGATTCTCATTCACTTACAAAAGAGTACTACAAAGCTGTTGGATCAAGGTTCCATATTTACATTTCTCTCCGTTATCTTTGAAACAATGTCAATGTAGGGCAAATAATATTTATTAAATAAAATAGTTTCCTTATATATAAGTACATTTAACTAATGGTCTTATGAATATCCCTTTTAAATAGAAACCATATTTTAAGGTCAGGATAGTTTAAATTGCAGCAAACTGATTTTTATGTTTCATGAAAACTTATACAGGAACACTCACCTATTCTGATACTCCCATTAACTTGGATTGTCTGAGTTTTTGTTTGTTTTTTTCTCTTTAGACAATGTGGCAGGATGTGACAGGATGTGACAATGTTGTGTAGAGGTATGTGGAATTCCTATGCTCTCATTCTGATATCAATTAAATGAACTCTTCAGTCTTCTAAAGCCATTCAACTTGCTGAACTGCTACATGGGTTAACTCTGTGTAACCATTAGCTTACCTGTATTATATGACAGTGCCCATTTCAAGAGAAATTAGCACTTTAAAAATCCTGTAAGTGACTCATTCTGCCTTACTCACATTGAACTGTAAGTGGCGTAAGTTGGTTGAGGTGTGCGTTGTGCCGAAACCAAAGTTACAATAAGCCTGAAAGATATCATTATGTCATAAAATTATAAAGGGTAATTGAAGAGAACGGAAAGGAGATTGGACCGACATGAACTCATGCTAAAATACAGATGGAGAGGGGGATTTGGTTAAATAGCCAGCCTAGCCAAATCCTGGATACATCTGTATTCTGCCTGTCAAACCTTTGAAGACTTGTCCTACAGAATCCATAAGAGTTTTTAAAAGAAATGGTTATCTGGCAACTCAAGCATTAAGAAACCTCAGGAAGTTGAGCTAAAAGTTCATACCTGTAAATATATTCTGCATCCCTGCTTACCAGACACAGCTATATAATAGTTACAGAACACGTCATTGTAGTTAAGTATCAAGTTAGAGAAAATTACATTAATATTCATTTTTTTGTTGTTAATGTTTTCCTTGGAAATTTATGTAGAAGCACAGATCAAAGTGATAACAATAATTTAGCAGTTTTTATATCACCTCTCAAGATGTTATTACTACAAAAGCTTGCGAAAAAAGCTGCTATAAATACAACTTGGCTTTTTTTGGAAATAGCTACCAATATATTTTTACAGATCTGTCTGTAATGTATCAAATAGCCTAGGGACATTTTTCAAGTAAGTATGCCCCATCTATCTTTTTACTAGCATCACAATATTTCCTTATATTTGGGCAGATATTTATTAGTTACTTAAATGCAGCATTACCTTCACCTGCCCAGATAATAATTATTGAATTATATCCAGTTCTGACCCTGTTCATTTTCTCTGATTATGTGTAGCCTGTAGTCATGTGACACAGTTAGATTGCACAGTCAAATTGAAAGGTTTTGTTGCTATAGCAACACAAGAATCTATGTGATGCTTTGTTCTTAGTTGTAATGACAATAAAACCAAGTAAGATCTTTTGAAGTTAATTTTTTGTTTACTTAGACTAGCACCTGTAATATTTTAGGATGGGTTTTGTTAATGGAGGATACGCAAATAAAATGACCATGTGTTCTACACCTGTAAGGTTAGTTGGATGTCTCTTCCAAAAGTCTCCAGTGCATTTTATCAGGGGTGTTGAACCATGAACCCTCCACACATGCATCCATAATTCTCTGCACAGCTATAACTGACAAAGAATTATGTGAAGTATAGCCGAATAATATCTAATCATATTTTAAAGCAAGTAGTAGTTGAGTATCCAAAGGAACACTCTGAGCACCTTAAAGGAACACTATAAGGTCAGGAACACAGACATGTATTCCTTGCCCTATAGTGCTAAACCCACCATTTAGGTGGCTTGCCCCCTCTTAGCCCTCCTATAAAAGTTTAAAACTTACCCTATTTCCAGCGCCTCGCAGGTCTGCCAGCATTGGCTTCGCCCCCTTTGTGACATCATCAAAGTGGCAGATATATAGCCAATCCAATGCTTTCCCTGTGGGAAAGCATTGGATTGGCAAAAATCGGCACAAGGGCGGGGCCAAATGCCGTTTTGGCCAATCAGGACCTCCTCATAGAGATGCATTGAATCAATGCATCTCTATGAGGAAAATTCAGCGTCTACATGCAGAGCGTGGGGACGCTGAACGTCAGGGCTGCTTTTTTGGCAGCACTGACCCAGGAAGCACCATCTAAGGAGTGGCCACTTGGAGGTGTCCCTAGAGGCAATGTAAACACTGCCTTTTCTCTGAAAAGGCAGTGTTTGCAAGAAAAGTTGTTTTGGTGCCTGGATCATTCCTTTAAGCAGACTAGCTATTTTTAAAGACTTGAACCTAACCTCGTACTATTTAGGCTGTTAGTTGGATACATTTCTTCACTATGCTCAGAGAAATGAGAGAGGTAAATGTATTTAAAGGAACACTATAGTTTCAGGAATACAAACAGGTATTCCTTACACCATAGGACTAAATACCTGTTTAGGCTACCGGCCCCTACTTACCTCTGGTTAAAAAGATTATTTACTTTCCTTTTTCCAGTGCCACGTGTGTCTGTTTGCGACTGGCCACGCCCACGCTTCACCCCCTTGGCTGAGATCAGCAATCTTGATGATCTCAGCCACTCCAATGCTTTCCCATAGGGGTAGGGAGACTATGGTGCATGCACGGCAAAATGCCATTCTGCACCAATCAGCATCTCCTCACAGAGATGCATTGACTCAATGAATATCAATGGGGTAAGTTCAGCACCTCCATGAAGAGTGTCCCTTTAATAAGCAAGCATACAACAGTCAGAAACATAGTATTTCAGGAGTACTGCTGCAATTTTGAAATGTAATCTATGATATGCCTCCACCAAATACTACTTTAATAACTAACAATGAATAACTTACAGCCAATGATCACATGGCCAAACAATCCATAGCACATCCATTCCCTCTGCAGTCAGTTGTATGGATCTTATTCAAATGTAGGCCTTACTAGATCAATAGCCATTTTATAATCACCTTAATCAGCAATGATGTGATATGTTCATTACTATACTAGATCTGATATCAAAAGGCTTTAAAATAGTTCCTTAATGTCAGCCTATGGATCATGTGTGCCCACACTTTGCAAACTTTGCAAATATTTGGTAGAAATAAGAGGCTTTTATCCATTGCATATGTCTTAGCAGTTTAGTAGATTGGACAAGAATATCGATGTTTAATCTGTGCAGACATATGTGTGTTTTCTCTTGGCAGGAAAATAGTTTTATATATATATATATTTTTTTTGTTCAAATTGCTTTTTGTTGTTTATTATTTTGTCTTAGGCCAAACTTGAAGTTACAAGGACAAGGATCCCTGAGTACTTTTAGTAAAATTAAATTCTAATGATTACATTGCGTCTGACAGTATGAGGAACTCGAATTACAAAGACTGTGGACTTTGATGCAGCGCCATCTATTGGTTAAAGGTTGATTATGTACTTTTACACTAAGATTTGCATATGTTTCCATATTTTGTGAAATTCATGCAGAATGCTCTGGGATTTGGATCTTATACATTTCCCCTGATGGTCCGCTGTGTGACAGTTATGTATTTTATTGCACTTGATTGTTGCCTTTATGTATTATTATATGTAAATGTTTCATGCACTGTTTTGAATATATCACAATACGTTAAAAGTAGAATTGTTGAAGGTTAGTCCCAGTTTAAAAAATAAAGAAATAAGTGTCTGAATGTGTTTCTTTCCAGGAGCCGTAAGACCTGCAGTCAGAGAGCTCGGTCTCAGAGCTAAAAAGCATCTTTACTAAAATGGTGCTTAATGTTGTCAGAGGGATCGATTCCTGTCTAACCAGAAAGAGCGAGCAAAGGGATTGGTTCTGCTTTGAAGAAGGAGCGGACAGAGGGATCAAATCCTGTCTTAGCAGAAGGGGCAGAGAGATAGATTCCTGTCTGGAAGAGGGAGCAGGCAGCTGGTTATATTCCTGTCTGGAGGAGGGAGCGGGCAGCGGGACCGAATCCTGTCTTCGCAGAAGTAGTGGGCAGAGAGATAGATTCCTGTTTCAGCAGAGGGATTGGATCCTGCCTTAGCAGAAGGAGTGGGCAGAGGGATCGGATCCTGTCTTAGCAGAAGGAGCGGGCAGAGAGATATATTCCTGTCTGGAAGAGGGAGCTGGCAGCTGGATAGACTCCTGTCTGGAGGAGGGCACAGGGACCGAATCTTGTCTTAGCAGAAGTAGCGGGCAGAGAGATAGATTCCTGTCTGGAAGAGTGAGTGGGCAGAGGGATCAAATCCTGTCTTAGCAGAAGGAGCAGGTAGACCCGGATACTTTTCTGCTTACGTGCTGACGTCATATGCTATATTTGTGATACATGCTTCTAGCTCCGACAGTACACCAGGTTATTTTTCTATAGATATATACTGATGTTATATGCTCTATTTGTGAGGCAAGCTACTAGCTACGGCTGTACACCCGGACATTTTCCTATATACGCTGATGTTCTAATGGTGTTGTACATCCGGATACTTTTTTATATATATGCTGATGGTCAACGTTCTATTTGTGATGCATGCTTTTAGCCCTGACAGTACACCCGAATATTTTTTCTTTATATACGCTGATGTTACATGTTACATTTGTGATGCATGCTTCTAGCTCCGACAGAATGCCCATAAACCCACACACATATACGCAAGAGTCTAGAACAGCAATGAGACATGCCGGGTCAGACGCCCACACATCCTGGGAAACCACAACCGAGACGGTAGACAGCCCACCCTCCCAAAGAATTAGAGCAGGGCCCCTGTACCCACGTGCCCTCTGCAGGCAGGGTCAGCACCTAAACTGAGCGCCCCCCCACGGGCCCTCAGAGCCAAACCCTCCACCAACATCTTGACCACAGCGCACTGGGGAGCACAATCCCTCCCCCATTTCTAAGGACCTAAGGATGCCCCCCCGCCCGGAACATACGCTCCGAAAGCTATGGCTGGACACCACGGGAAAGCGGAGTCCCACCCCGCATTTGCACATAGTTAAGGTTTCAACTTAGTTTTATGATATAATTCTGGTTACACGTAAAAGTAGAGTGACACCTACTAGTTGATCGATTACCTGGACTCTTCCTACATACACCTAGTGTTGAAGAGACACCGGGGCACACACCCCATTTATACCTGGCACGAATTAAGACCAGGTCTCTATCCCTTTTCTTTCCTATCACACTCTCCCCCTCTTCTCCTCCTCCCCTCTTTCCTCCTTTTTCTCGGCTGTCCGCAGGTGGGGAGCCCAGGCGGGGGATCTTGGTGCGTGACTGGGGAGACTGCAGGCCAGGGACCCCCGAAGGGCCACACAATGTCAATACACGTAATATCCCTTAATGCAAAGGGTTTGAACGTCCCCAAAAAACGTAGACTTATGTTCCGCGAAATTAAACGCCTTAACGCCGACGTTGCTTACCTACAGGAGACTCATCTACCCCGGGGCACTCAGGTAACCCTAAGAAACCACACCTACTGCACCATTTACGAGGCAAGAGCGTTTCGGAAACGTAACGGAATAGCCATAGCAATAAGCAACAGATGCCCACTTCAGGTTACAAAGACTATCTCAGACCCGGACCCGGTACCATATACTCCCATACTATACACCTGGTGAACATGTATGCCCACAACGACCCCGCATCGACATTCTGGGACACCCTGGCAACTCAGCTCGCTAGCCTCCCTCACGGATCTTGATCGTGGGAGGGGACCTAGATGCAGCCCCGTGCCCAGCAATAGACAGGAGCTCTGGGAGCAGCCGGCTCCGCTCTCAGGAAAGGGGGACGCACGACAGACTCCTCTGCAGCTTCATACAACAGACAGGACTTATTGACATATGGAGGGCACACCACCCAAGCACTAAGGACTACACATTCCACTCCACCTCGCACAACACATACTCATGGATCGATATGTTCCTGGTTAACGGAATGACGGTACCCAAGGCGACTCACTCACACATCGGCACCATCACTTGGTCAGAGCAAGCAGACATAGCCCTAACACTGACGAACCTCTGCGCGGCCACTCCTTGAAATTGGAGGCTTAATGCAGCACTCCTCAGAGACCTGACAGTAGTCGGACAGATAAAGGAGGAGATAAAAACCTAATTTGCCCTGAACACTACAGACGACACCCCCCAGCTACCGTCTGGGCAGCCCAGAAGGCTGTAATCAGAGGAGCCTTAGTGAAAGTGGCCACCCTTAAAAAAAACCCAGAAAATACGTAAACTCGCTGACCAACTCACCACCCTACGCAGAGTGGAACAACAACACAAACAAAACCCTACACCAGAAAAACTACAGGAACTACAAGCATGTCGGCTAAAGGTTAAGGAGACACTCCTAGAGGACACGGCCAGGTCACTCACTTGGACGAGGAGAACATACTACGATCGGGCAAACAAAATGGACTCCCTGCTGGCCGGGGCGTTGAGACCCAAACAGAGACACACACATATCACTAAAATCAAAGACAAGCTAGGGAACCTGCAGACATTGCCAACCGACATAGCCAGAGTATTCACCGAATACTTTCAGGCCCTCTACAATTACTCTCCTACGACACAGGGACAGGAACTAAAAGACGTAGAGGACATCCGCACGTACCTACACCAGATGGAGCTACCACAACCGACAAAAGAGACCTCCCGTCCATTAGGCGGCCGTATCACAGCAGACGAAATTGACGCTGCAATATCAGCCTTAAAAAGCAACAAGGCCCCAGGCCCGGGAGACACTGGTGCCCCACCTGGAGACATGGTTTAATGACCTCATGAACGGAGGCCCCACAGATATAGACGCATCCCTAGCAAGCATCGTCCTCATCCCAAAACCAGGTAAAGACACCACAGGCCCAGCCAATTATAGGCCCATATCCCTAATCAACCACAACATAAAACTCCTAGCAAAGATATTACCGACCAGACTGAACCCCCTGCTACAATGACTGGTCCATGCGGACCAAGTGGGCTTCATTCCGGACAGACAACTGTTCGAGAACACACAACGCAACATAGACATTATCTGGAGAAAGACGAAGGCCGGGGAGCCGACCCTGATCCTGTCGTTAGATGCTGAAAAGGCGTTTGACAGGGTCAGGTGGCCATTCCTATTCACACTACTTACTCATCTGGGCCTCCCAGACCCATACGTAACAGCCATCAAAGCAATGTACACTGACGTCAGAGCACAAATTTGGATTACTGGAGCACCGAACAGCCCTTTTAGCCTGGGCAATGGGACCAGACAGGGCTGCCCGCTCTCCCCACTCCTCTTCGTCCTGGCCCTGGAACCACTCCTGCATACCATCAGGAAACATCCTAACATCCACGGAGTCACAATAGGGAGGGAACAATTCACAGTGGCGGGCTACGCAGACGACATCCCTAACGCAGATATTAGCAGAATATGGAAGCCTATCGGGCTATAAAGTAAACCTGGGGAAGTCAAGTGCCCTACCTCTTAACATGACAGACAGAGACGCCGCATTCATAACCACAACGTACAGCATACAACTAAACCGCATAGCTATAAAATATCTCAGAGTCAGACTGACTGCCTCCTCTGACCAACTGTACACACAGAACTATATCCCGCTCTTCAGGGAACTGATTAGCGATTTAAAAATGGGTAGAGAAATCTCGTGGATAGGGAGAGTTCACTCCATCAAGATGAACGTCTTCAGGCCCTGCCCATCCCTGTCACTAAAACTGACTTAGCACCTCTCCAACAAGCAATAGGACGTTTTATCTGGAACAACAGACGACACAGGGTATCCCGAAACATTCTGTACCGACCCAAGACCGCAGGAGGGCTGGGACTGCCCAACCTCTTCTATTACTATCTGGCGGCCCAATTGACACAGGTTGCACTGTGGCATTCCCCCCCTGACCAAAGGAGATGGGTAGACCTAGAGTCGCTAATGACGGGCTCGGATCTCCCCCAGTACCACATCTGGCTGCCCAAAGACCACAGGGCATTCCTGTGAACGGACTGCCCGTCCATACTAAACTCCATCCGGATGTGGGACAAATATGCAGGAAAATATGGCCTAGTCAAACTTCCCTCCCCGATGATGCCCCTGTTTAGGAATAGAGCATTCCCCCCTGGGATGAGACCCCAAGACTTCAAAAATCTGGAGACGGCGGGACTCCAAAGGCTGTGTCACACGACTAACGGAGACCGCTTACACACCTTTGACGAACTAAAAGAGAGGGAGACCCTTACAACTGGAGACCTCTTTCGGTACATGCAACTTAGAGATTTTCTTACCCAACCTCACATAAAGGAATTGACAACCAAAAACATTACCAAACTAGAAAACATGTGCCTGAAGGAAAACAACCACAGAAAGATGATTTCATCCATCTCTTCACACATAGCCTCCAACACAACTGAACGGGGAACACTCACGTACATTGATCAGTGGGAAGCAGACTTAGGTGAAAAACTTGAAGGAGTAGAATGGCAGGAAATCTGGGAGGCAAATAACAGATTTGCATACTATACCCGACTTCACCAACAAAACTGGTTCAGGTGCAAAACCATTGCAAGTCTATAGCCTACAACTACAAGATCTTTAGGGTTACACACTTCCCGCAAGAAAAAGTGCTCTAGACGGCTCCCCCCAACTTCCCCCCCCCCCGTCCCTTTGCCCATATTCGCTACTCAGATTTTATTACCCACTGCTACCTTTCATCTCCTGATCACTATGATCAACCTGTCAATGTCAAAAAGCAAGCCTAATAACCATAGGAAGTGAGTATACACATGCGGACTAACTGGTCCTAGGTTTAGCAGATGTGGGCCGCAATCGCGGACCATCAAATCTTCCACTCCGTTTCCTAAATTGTTTATCATTGTTTTACATGTTATCATTCTTTCAAAAAACATAAAAAAACAGACGGGCTATTACGAATACAGGATTACCTTGTAAACCTCAGTCAAAAACGCTTACAGTGGGAGCCAGACTTACACACCTCCACAGCTTCGCTTATGATGGCCTAATACTACACGGCCACTGTACATATACGAATGACTGATTGTATGCAATATTGTCTTGATACCTGTAAGTCGCATATGTAAAAACACCTGTCTTGAACTAAATAAAGAATTTATTTTTTTTAAAAGGAGCAGGTACAGGAAATTATTTCTGTTTAAGCAGAGGGATCGGATCCTGCCTTAGCAGAAGGAGTGGGCAGAGGGATCAGTTGCTGCTTTAGCAGAAAGAGTGGGCAGAGGGATCGGATCCTGCCTTAACAGAAGGAGTGGGCAGAGGGATAGAATCCTGGCTTAACAGAAGGAGCAGCCAAGGAACAGATTGATGTCTGGAAGAATGACTGAGCAGAGTAATTGATTCCTGCTTTAGAAAAAGGAACAGGCAGAAGGGTAAACTTATGTCTGGAAGAAGAGACAAACAAAGTAGCAGGACAGGACTGGATCCCAAGACTGGGACCAGCCAGATTTCTTCCCCATTCAGGTACATAGTAGAACAATTTTTAGAGGGTCAAGGTTCATAAATAAATCCACTCCATGCCCACATCTAATTCCCCTGGCACTCACTGTCTAAAAGGAATGTACTGGCCATTACTAGTAATGAACATTGCTGGACCGTGGAAGTTTTCATAGTGTGTGCCCCCCACACACAAGAGTGCAGATGGTGGAGGAAGAAACAGTAGAACGCACCAGCACTTACAATATATATATAAAACATTTTTTACTGCTCATTATGTAATAGCACAGAAGTCCAATGCTCCCTCCTAACACAGTTAATTTGTACGACCACCCTTGGCGTTTGTGGGACCCTAGGCAACAAGAATGTGCAAAGTCATAAAATCAAGTTGCCCTGTGTGACTTTACAGCCCCTGGTGGCTCCATGTGGTGGAATCCTCACAAAACAAATATAAAATATGAGAGAAAGCCATAGAAAAGCAACTTATTGTGTAAAATACTTTCATCACAGTATAACATATTGTTTGTCTGGATTAAATCCAAATCTATTTAAATTAGGAAGGTGTTAATAAGGCTAAATCCAAGATGATACTCCAAGCATATGGCTTTTTAGCTCTATGGCATTGCTCCAATCACACCCTCCTAGTGCTTCCTTACTTGTCTTGTTATCTATTGTTATTGTCTTTGCCTTTAAGTACAGTATTTATGTAATTCACATGTGTAAAAATAAACTTAACTTACATTAATTGCTTGGAGACAGTCATTTCGGCGGGAAAAGTTAATACATTGCTTCAAAGTAAAAGGGAGAATTAAATATAAAAAAAGGCTAATTACTACTTTGTTTAAAAATAGTTCTCTGCTGCTATCTGGCATTGAAGGCATTTAGTTATAGAACAATTCTTCGGTCTCTTCTTTTTGTGCAAGGAACTTTCATTTTTTTCCTAGTTCTAACATAAAACACTACTTTAGAAATATTTAAAGGGACACTTAAAACACCATAACTACTACAGCTGATTGCAGTGGTTATGGTGGTATTAGTGTTTTGCAAAGGCATCAGGCGCTGGAGGGAAATTCCCAGTGTTTGTCAACGCAGTGCAAAATTAATTAACATTGTAGACTAATCACTCCAAAGGTTGTTTGTAGTGATTATTATTGTGCATACAGTACTTCCAACCGACTCTCAAGAGATACCATTAACCAATTCTGTTTCAAATGGATACTGAGAAAACCTTGACTGTCTGTGTGCTTTGAGAATAGTTTTGGGAAACACATTTGGCTTCCATCATGATTGCTCACTGTTTAGAATTACCTAAAACTTGAAGGTATTACTCGAAGCGCCATGACCACTTAAGTGATTTTAAGTGGTCATGGTGGTTGGAGTCTGATTGTTCAGCGTTCCAGATTGAAACACTGCACATACAGAGTTAAAGCCCGTGCAGTAACTTCCCCACCGACCGTCAGTATCTATTAACCATCTCCGAACCTAATTTATCAGCTGGCTAATGCCAATATTGTGCATATTTAAAGTCTGACATCATACCATGCTTGCAAAGGCGAACAATGACAGCATGTGCCCTCCCCTCCAAACTCCATAATGCCTTTGGAAAGCAAATAACCAAATGATCCTTCAGTATGTTAAGGAGTATTTGATTTGATTTAGGTCATATGATACCATTTGTTGCAGGAAAACATGCCATAATTTAAATTGCTATTAACAAACAAACAAAAAAAAATCTCTATGGAAATCTCACAAATCGCCATAGATTGCATGCTTTCATTTATACTTTCTGTTAAAATGAAAATTGTTATCAGTAAAGGCGCGCCATTCACTCTAGAGCGGCCAAATTCCATCGTCCCTACTGTTCCAAATGAAATACACTCTGACGTTAACCCTACTGAAGACTAAAGCTGCGTGTTGCTAGATCTCGGAGCAGAAAGCTGAAGGATTGCATGCAGAGCAAAATAGAGCTTGATTCAGCCAAGCAATAGAAATAACCATGACAACTACATATAATTCACGCACAAAATACCCTAAATTACAACTACTATGATACCAGGAACATGAATTACAGTTGCATCCACAGTGAAAAAATGTGTTCCTTTGAAGAAATAAAGTGATCATTTAGAGTGTTTTCAAACTAGAGGTAGAATCGAAAAGATTACCGGTGATAAAACAATACAGTAAGAATGTTTTATTTTAAGCTTTGAATTACATCAGCAGGTAGACCATTGTCCCATATAGCACTCTGCCTCCTCCTATCTGAGCGTTTTTGAGGCTGGGTTGTCATGACAACCATCAGCAAACTCAGAAGCCACAGGGAACTACTCAGCCATCATAGTACTGCTAAGGACTAATGTTTGCTAGTACTGATTAAATGGTTCCTTACCTGATGTTGAATGCTTAACCTTTGCTTTTAACTAAAGAACCCCAGAGTTCATCTGTTTTAACCTGATATATTCCCCAATTGCCCCCTGCTGTATAATTTGCAAAAGAAATAGAGCTCTCAAGAATTATCAGCGTTGACAATGGAGAGATTATGAAATAATTTAAGCTTTAAAGAAGAATACAGTTTAAATTAGAATTTAAGGATAAATTCAGCTTTGTGACAGGCATTTTTCTTGTTTAGCTTCAAATGACAACAGGACTGGAGCTATTGAAGGAAACTGTTTCATCATTATCAGTATTATAAACCAAATTGACCCTAAGTACCCCCTAGCCCAGGACATGACAAATTTGTTTGAAATCTGGGAGCCAGCTAAAAAAGTTAGGAGCCAGGTTTTTCCAGGGCAAAAAATACAATTCCTATAGGAACACTGTAGTCACCAGAACCACTATAGCTTAATGTAGTTGTTGTGAAGTCTATATCCTGTCCCTGAATGCTTTTTAATGTAAACACTGACTTTTCAGACAAAAGGCAGTGTTTACATTGCTGCCTGGTGACACCTCTTGTGACAGTCACTCTGTCACGGCTCCTGGTCCCTCTACCAGCGTGGCTGCACACAAACTAAGCAGCCAAGGCGACAGATGTTTCAGACTTACCTTGGCTGCCCGTTCTTCCTCTGTTCCGGTCCCCAGCGTTTGCAACGTTCTTAGGAACGCCGGCCACTGCGGTTTGGGCCTTTATAAGAAACTTACCTTCGCTCACATCAAAGATGGCGCCAACGTGCATGTGACATCACGTCATAGACGCGCACTCACGTTTTGGGGTCAGAGGTCAGAGACAGCCAACTACAGCGTAAGGAGGGTTATTTAAAACCATATTACCTTTTTATCAGGGCCCTGTCATGGTTTCCACTAGCTGGTTATCCAAGAGTGTGTTCCTGATCATGTTTATTCTGGTATTTGACTTTGGCTTCGTTTTGACATCCCTGATTTCTGGTATCCTTGACTTTTGGCTTTCTCCATCGTTGTGTCTCTTTCTGTGTCCCTGACCTCGGCAAGTATTTTGACTATTCTCAGGTACGTTAAGTCCGGCCATTCTAAGGTCCGGTTAAACGTTATCCTTAGTCCTAGGTGTGATACTATTCTGTGTGCTGGATCAACAGTAATCCAGACACTCAGCCTCTAGAGGTGCTTCCCAGGTAAGTGCTTCACACCGTGCAGCACCTACGTTAATATTCCCTATAGGGATGCATTGATTCAATGCATCTCTATGAGGAGAGGTTGATTGGTGCAGTGGCATTTGGCCGTGCATGTGCAGTACTCTGCAAAGACTGTGAGTGCTGACCATCCTTTTAATTTTTCTGCATCTATTGACCCTGGTTTCTAGCATCTGGCAATGGAGATTTTTTTTGTACAGTCTGAGTGCAAGGACCTTTGGAAATAAATATATAGAAGTGTAACTTGTGTATATATGTTATCAATCCAGTATATACAGCCAAATATATAAATATATATATATATATATATTTATTCCGTATATATTTTTTTATATATATAAAAGCAAGTACAAACTCTTGCACTCCAACTATAATGTTACTACCCGGTGCTCAGTCACATCAATTATAAATTCCAAACAATACCAGCACTCTGGGAATTCCACAAAAATCGTCTTTATTCAACCTGGATTTACTTGAATAAAGAAGATCTTTGTGGAATTGCCAGAGTGCTAGTACTGTTTGGAATATATATATATATATATATATATATATATAAATATATAAAATTAT